GCCTCCATTGCTTGGAGTGGCACCGCTATCGGCTGAACGCAGCAATGGCTTTGAACCTCCTTTGACCCCAGGAAAGCAGGAGCCCGGTCTATCGGAGGGTTCGGTTGACCCTATGATGGCGGATCTTTGGGGATTTGACGAGGATTATTTCCCTACGGGAGTGTTTGACTTCCTTCAGAGTCAGATGCCAGCGTGATCTACCCGGGGCTTGGAATGCTTTCCCTCGATTGTTCTCTTTGTACATAGTAATAACGGCCTATGATTGATGACCACAGTTGTTGCAGGGGAATATGGATACTAGAAGCATACATTTAGAGCGAACTACTAATGAAATTGGGCTATATCTCCGTACAAAATTAGACCACTTCCCTGGTAAATGGCATTGCCCAGTGTATATGAATGGATGGACGGGCATTTGGCCTAGCTGTTGTCGTTGGCGACATTTGACGCACTGCCACTTGGATCCCCGTCCATCCTCAGCTTGAGTGCTGTATGATCTCAATTTTTATTTTTTAATTAGTTTACACACTTCAATCAAATATTCTCTACTCCGCATAATGTATCTCGGTGCTTGGCATAGAGCCCACCCGGATAGACCGAAAAAGTCCGAGTCGGTCGAACATGCGGATCCAAAACAGCCCATTGCTCGGGGATTCTGTCGAATCACATTGGTTTTGGATAAAAACAAAGGCCGAGTTATCGTTGATCTTGTACTTCCATCATTCCTAGTATATTGCACTCGGTGATTCCATTTACCCCAAACTTGCAAGACTGCCGAGGTCTCCGCCATTAGTGCATATTTGATTGAGCTCCCCCGCAACAATTGACAACTTTTGTTCTCTCTCTCCACTCTGTATAATTGTCTTTCTTCTTTGTTTTAGCTATGATGAACCGATCTCTTCTTCGCGCAGCTGCGCGCTCAATCCAGGCTGGTCCTACCTCCGTGGCAGGCCGCCGGTATGCCTCCTCGGCCGTCTTCAACTGGGAAGATCCCCTCGCCGCAGCGGAGCTGTTCACAGAGGAGGAACTGGCAATTCAGGATACAGCACGCCAATACTGCCAGGATAAACTTGCGCCCCGCATTTTGGGTATGTTTAATTTACTTTGCTTCTGTTGTGAAATGGTGAACTGACGTTAGTGACCCCCTTGCAGAGGCCTACCGCAATGAGGATTACGACCGTCGAATCCTAGAGGAGATGGGCGATCTGGGTCTCCTCGGCGCTTCAATTGAAGGATACGGATGCGCCGGTGTCAGCACCGTGGCATCCGGCCTCATCACCAAGGAAGTCGAGCGCGTGGACTCGGGATACCGATCAGGCATGTCAGTTCAGAGCTCGCTAGCCATGACCGGCATCTACGAGTTCGGGACAGAAGAGCAAAAGCAGCGCTTCCTGCCTGGCCTCGCTAAGGGCACAGTTGCCGGCTGCTTCGGCTTGACAGAGCCCAACCACGGTTCTGACCCTGGCTCCATGGAGACCGTGGCGCGCGAGCACCCTACGCAGAAGGGCATGTACCTGCTCTCCGGCAGCAAGACCTGGATCACGAACTCCCCCATCGCCGATCTCGCGCTCGTGTGGGCTAAGCTCGAGTCCACCGGGCAGATCCGTGGGTTTATTGTGGAGCGAGAGCGTGCGACGCCCGGGTCGTACGAGACCCCCGCTATCAAGAATAAGACTGCCTTGCGTGCTTCCATCACTGGTATGATCCATATGGATAACTGCCCAGTACCGGCGGAGAATATGCTGCCCGATGTCGAGGGCCTCAAGGGTCCCTTTACATGCTTGAACAGTGCCCGTTTGGGAATTGCCTTTGGTGCCATGGGTGCCTTAGAGGATTGTCTTGCCCGTGCGCGCGAGTACAGTCTGGAGCGCAAGCAGTTCAAGGGCAACCCGCTTGCCAAGTACCAGCTTATTCAGATGAAGTTGGCTAACGCTGCTACGGATGCTGCTTACGGAACACTGGCTGCGGTTCAAGTGGCTCGTCTTAAGGATGCTGGCAAGGCTACGCCTGAGATGATCTCGATGATCAAGCGTCAGAACTGTGACCGTGCTCTGGCTAATTCTAGAGTGTAAGTTTTAGTTTCTCTGTCTTATCTTTTTGGTTTGTTTTACTGATATTGGTATTAGTCTACAAGAAATCTTCGGTGGCAACGCTGCCAGTGACGAGTATCACATTGCCCGCCATGTGGCCAACCTGTTTGTGGTACAGACCTACGAGGGTCAAAGTGATATCCATGGTAAGTGATTCCTGCTTGATTGTGTTGGGCTGAGGCTAATGCATATTCCAATAGCTTTGATCCTGGGCCGTGCCATTACAGGCAAGCAGGCCTTTGTCTAAAAATAAAAAGAACATACTTGTATATAGAAGATATCCCAATTGAATGTTTCAAAGAGGTATAAAGGTACTTATAATAGTAGCCAGGAAGGACATCAGTAGTACCCAGTACCCAGGTAGCCCTGAGTAGTATATGGTCACGCTATCAAAAGCATAGTTCCTTCCTTTTTAGGACAAGCGGGAAATTGCGCCTCACCCGCACGTGACATCATCGAGGGGCAGTGTATCAATATCATGCGGTGTAATACAGATTTTCAATACAGAGGTATATTGAAGTTGAGGATTCAAAGGTTTCAATATAAAATTTGATCATTAAAACCTTTAAATATTAAGAAATATATTATTAGATCTACCTTATTAGGTAGGAACTGCTCTCTATTCACCAGGCTGAACATTTGAAATATCTGCAAATGCTGTCTTATGTATATGCCTTTGCCTAACCCCGCCAAATTCGATGATCCAGCCCTATCGAGAGATTTGCCTTCTTTCATAAAGCAATCGAATTTGATTCAAAAAGATATACGTATATATCTAACATTCTGTCTGCTTCTGCCTCATTCTTCAATGCCTCAAATAACAGGTACCCTCAAAGCTGAATCATGATGTGTCATCTCAGTGTGGCGCCCGGTATTCCCGTATTGGGCCGTACAATACCGACAGAATCGATTCCGCCCACCTGGGCACTTTTCCCCCTCTTGAGACTCGCAATTATCTTCTTCCCTCTTCTTTTCCACACAAAGACGTAATCGTAAGTCGACTTACTTTCTCTCTAACTTTTGAGAATCAATAACTGACGATCCATCACCCAGTTTCTTTTTACTTTCTACATCTTCTCTCTTTGCTCGTCATGGCTCTCAAGCGTATTAACAAGGAACTCACTGACCTCGGCCGGTAAGCCTATCCTGATGCCATCATCTGCGCTTCATGATTCTAACTTTCCTCTAGTGATCCACCCTCTTCCTGCTCCGCTGGCCCCGTTGGAGATGACCTGGTATGAACACTCGTTTTCTTGCTTGGCGCCGTGTGGCGGGGCACAACCCGCCCCGGTTTTGACCAGGTTGATATCAATGAGAGGATCGTGGATGACTGACTTGTCTTCTTTTTCGCAGTTCCACTGGCAAGCGACCATCATGGGTCCTGTAAGTTGCTCTCGTCTCTGCTCTGGAGGACCTTGGGGGCCATTTGGCCCTCTGCGAGGTCCAAAGATTCATCACCAGATTCATGATACTAATAGATCCTATAGGGTGACTCCCCATACTCTGGCGGTGTCTTCTTCCTTGCCATCCACTTCCCTACCGACTACCCCTTCAAGCCTCCCAAGGTCAACTTCACCACTCGCATCTACCACCCCAACATCAACTCCAACGGCAGCATCTGTCTGGACATCCTGAGAGACCAATGGAGCCCTGCTCTCACCATCTCTAAAGGTGAGCAAGATCTCTCCTTTCATTCTCTGCCACGCACAATCTCTAACCGACCCATAGTGTTGCTCTCCATTTGCTCGATGCTCACAGACCCCAACCCGGACGATCCTCTTGTGCCCGAAATCGCGCACGTCTACAAGACCGACCGACCGCGGTACGAGGCGACAGCTCGCGAGTGGACGCGGAAGTACGCTATTTGAGTGCAACGACAAATCTGATTCCTTCTTCGCTTCTTATGTTCTTCTCTCTTTCTCCCCCTCAATAACCCTCCTTGCGGCCCCTATCTCGCTCGACCACTTTTCATCGGTGTCATCTCAACGTCGCTCTGCATCTTTCCTCTTTCTTTGCCCTCCGCTCTAGATTCAGAATCCGCGAAAGCCTGGCGTACCTGTGGTCGTAGAAACGTTTTCAGTTTTTTTTCATCCCCAAACTCTGTGTCTTGATTTCAAATGCACCTGTTTCTTGCGCGCGTTGCTTCCTGCTTCCGTGCCTAAAAACTCCATTTGCGCCGGGTTTGACCTTGTTGTTGGGCTGAGTTTCTGGGACTTTTCATATCCAACGATCCTTATGACAAATTCTCATGCATTCATGGCATCCATTTCTTCTCTTTTTCAAACGCTGCATGCGTCTAGGATTGAATTATGGATTTTTGCCGAGTTTTCTCCCGTTCTTTTGCTTCTGTGCTTGTACTAGGCGATGCTTCAGACTCGGTGGGTAATGCTCTGAGGGTTTGGAGAGTAGTTCGAGATCGCCTATTGTGTGTCTTGTGTCTTGTGTTTAGGGGCTTTTATCGTTTTCTATCTTAAATAGCACAATCTAGGCAGGCCCGTCTTGTGTGTGAACTTTTGATATCTGTAGACTGTAGTTTGTACATCGTAGTGTTGGATTGATGGACTGATCATCGCTATATCAACTACAACTTCGAACACGGATTGTCTTGAATAATGCATTCCAATTGCCCAACTCCCGACTCCATATATGTATATGTATGTATATCTATCTGTGTAAATGCAAATCAAAAGATTAATAGTAGAAAACCATCAAATCAAAGTCTGTCGTATCGAAATATCCCCCGAACTGAACCAAAACCCAGACTCAAAGCAAGTCCAAGTAAGTCCAGCACCAAAAAGAGAGAAAGAAATAAATGCAAAAGAAACCAAAGCCAGTCCCGTCACAAGGAAGGTGGAACCAAGCAGACGTATTTCGAAAAATGCATCAAGAACATTATCGTCATCATCATCATCAAACAACCTGACTCGCCCGTCGACTCCCAGCCCTCGACCCCTCCCCAGCCTTAGCAGTCCTCTGACTGGCCCTAGAAACCTGACTCCCGGAATCATGCTCATCAGCCCTAGACCCCTTCGAACTCTTCGACCGATGGGAGCGATGCCGATGCGCACGCGACCCAACCTGGCTAATCGAGTCATCCGGCGAAACATGCGAGTCAACATCGAGATCCGCCACACTCTCAGGAAGCGGGACATCCCTTGCAGACAAATATGAGTTCCTGCCCTCCTTGCTGTGGATACTGGGACTGGAGTAGTATGTTGCGTTTGAGCCAGCGGGAAGGGGGATATTGCGCGCGGAGCGGGAAGACGATGCAACGCTAGCGTTATCCTTTCCGACGTGCGAGGACGAGCGCACCGATGCTGCGCGGTACGAGTGCGTGCTTTGCTGGCCCTTGTGCGAGCGCTGTGAGACGGTAGACTCGTACCCGTCGCGGTCATCGTGGCTGTGGCGGCGGTGTGTGCTCTGCGACGCTTTGATCGTCGAGGAGCTGTGTACGCTGCTCGGCACGCCCCGGGTCCGCTCGTCGTGGTAGCTGCTGATGAAGGTTGAGGGGGCGCAGGCGTAGCGTTGCTGGGAGGCGTTGCTGGCCGGTGGGTACTCGATTGCCCGGAGCGGGATGTCTTCCGGAATACTGTAGATGCTGCCTTCTGAGGCACGGCGTGGGTTTTCGTGCATGTATTCGGTGCCGTCGTAGATTGTGCTGGCGCGGGGGTTCTTGGAGGTTACGCTGCGCGTTAGGGTTGAGCGTGGGTTTGAGGCAGTGGTGTAGGCGCTGCGCGGTGGTGGGGGTGCTTCGATGGCGCGGTATTGGGATTGTTGGTCGTCGTTGCCGAAGAAGGATTGGGCCGCAGCTTTGATTTGGGGGAAGCTGCTTGCGAACTGCGTAGGCTGTTCTGGCTCTTGGGTCGTTGACTGCGAGTCGCCCTTGACCATTGCGTAGGCGATTGCTGCGCCTGCGGCGGCCCCAATCAGCGTGCCAACGATGGTCTTCGCTGCCTTGCTGCCGTCGTCGCTCTGTGGCGGTGCGGGTGCTTGCATGGTGTATGACGGTGGCGGCGGGCCTCGGGAGACGACAGTGGGTGCAGACCGCTCAAAGGTTGTGGGTGCTTTGGAAATGGCGCGAGACTTGGCCTCGGATCGGGCTTCGGATCTTGCCTCAGATCTTGCTATGGATCTGGTCTCAGACATGGCCTCAGACCTTGGGGGTGCGATGCTCTCTGCCTTGATGGTGCTAGCTTTGCTGCCCGCCTTTGAGACCACAGAGCGGCTGGAACCCTCCAGAAGAGCCATTGTCGGCCCGCTTGCCTCTGATATAACCGAGGCGTTGCTGGGCCGGTACACCGCTTCAATGCTGTTGCCGTCGAAGTCGATGACGGCTGCACTGAAGTACCCAGATTGCGAATCTCGCATCTTGGGTTCGCCGTGGATCTTCGCGCCGGCTTTTAGGGCGCTTATGAAGAACGAGCCGACTGCGTCTTTCGACGGGGCTGGAAAGGCGACATGGACTGCACCAGGAGGAGATCTTTGGTTCTGGTCAGCGTTGTCGAAAGACAGGGTGTTTCTCTTTGTATATATCACTCACCCAGGCTTAGTCTCAGTCATCCAGAAATCAGCAGGTTCCCCCTGCTTCTGACCGAACCCTATATAATCGTCATGTCTACCGATGAATTGGTATCCCAATGGCTGCAAACATGATAAGAAGAAAGAGGTAGAAGTTGGGAGGTGAGAGACGGTCAGGGTGATATGCGAAACGGGCATTGCGAAGGATGAAGTCGACGTGCCTGGATACCAGCACGTACAAAGAATTAAAAGGAATGGGGATATGAAAAAAAAAACGAAGGTGGATGGAAAGAAAGAGAGAGATTAAATGGAACCGGTAAAGATATATACGGTGAGGGAATCCAAGTCTATAACCAAGAACTATGACGCCAAAAAACGAGGCCACATGAACGGTCCCCCAAGAGCCAGTCAGAATAAATGCTGTGTGACTCTAATCCAAAAACAGAGACGGAATAAACTAGCAGCTTCCGAAATCCTGCCCAAGCTGGCGAAAAGGGGTCATCCAGAACACCGCATGTCTCCCGATAGTACGGAGTACGTTGGTGGACACTTGAGGACGTGTGATTTCTGGTATGGAGTCAGGCAGGTGGGGTCCAGAGACGATTGGCCGAAAGATCAAGTCAATGCTCAGTACCCGATCTGCACAGGACAGTTGAAACAGTCCAAGGGCGAGGCGTGTTAAAGGCCCAAAGCCATGCTCCGTACTCCGTCCTTGGTAAGAATAGAAAGAAAGCCAGTCCGTACTTCCAGTGGCACAGTAGTCAGACCGGAGGCCGTTCCTGTTCCTGGCTGCTTTCGGATATCTAGGGGCCCAACTCTGAGCAAAGTGAAACGCTCTATGGCTGGAGGGGTGCAGATGGGTCCCTGCCAGGTCATCGCGGGGAGCCAATGTGGATTCCTGTTAGCGGATGGGGCGTCTGTTCTGGATGTCCTGAGCGAGGTGCAGGAGCCTATCGAGGTTAAGTGGGCTTTTTGCTTACTTGTTCCTTTTGTGTGAGCAAATGGTAGACTTTCGAGTGGAGGAAGAAGAAAAGACCTGCTGCCAGGTGGACTTGGGTAGATGTGCTGACCGCTACGGGTTTTTGAGTCATACAACAGTACAACAGTACATCGTACGTTGATAATTTGGGGTTGGGTTTTTTGATAGGTTATTTTCTAGGTAGTAACATGATTTACATAGAATAATGTGATAGTTATCTATAGTATCCAAGTACAATAAGAACCAAATATAAGACGATGGGCAGAAGTGCATCTCATATCGCCACCATCGATCCGATTCGCACATTCAAAGTGAGGCGAGGCTAATTGCATGCCACGTCAAGGATCAGGATTATTACTGGAGATTACTAGAGATTACTGGAGAAAAAGATGTAAAAAAAATAAAAAAGCCATATTTTTATTGAACACAGAAGTTGAAGATATGTGTCTCAGGAATCCCAAATCAATGGGCCCTGATCTATGTGCTGTTCACTTTTTCTGGTCTACACATCGCAGCAGTCGAGGTTGAAGCTGGATGGAGGCAAGATGGATCAAGGACTGGCGAAAAGGAACCAAATGCCATCCGACCCGTAACGTATGCTGAGGGGGAAAAAAGAACCAGGTGCTCTTTACACACCCACAGACAACCTTGGGATGAATCCCGATGCTTGGTAGCTGTCCCAGGTATCCAGGATTCCCAGTGGCTTCCCCCAAACAAAACAGAGAGATAGAGAAAGGTAGAGAGAGTTGGGCTTAGATAACAGCCAAAATACTCGAACAAGGACAGACATATCCAGAGATATGACCCGTACCTTCGTCCTGTGTGCAACTCAATCCCCGCCCGTTAAAAAAAAAAGTTGGCAAATGAGCCGTCAGTACAGACGACAAGGACGCGCGCTCTCTGGGCGCGATTTCTTTCTTTTTTTTTTCTGGCGGAGTTTCTCAGAGGATATCCCAGACCTCTTCGGCAGCGTGGCAGAATTTGCTGCAGGCAACACTGGCACTAAGACTGTAGTTGCTGATACTGATAGTTTCATCCTTGAAGGAGTCGGCAAAGTCGTCGTGGCCCTTGGCCATGGCACCGACGAAGATGGCGACACTCTCGTTGGGGTTCAACGACTCCAAGTAGTCCTTGGTGCGGACCACGGGCGCCTCGAAACTCATGGTCACCTTGCGGCAGTTGGGGGGTAGGTGGTCGGTGATCGGGTTCTTAATAACCTTAAGGAGCTTTTCCTGTGAGTTGGTCGAACGGATGGAGAGTCGGTGGAGCAGCTGGACCATCAGACCGGCGAACCGCTTGAATGTTCTCGGGATGCGGACGGAAGGGTTGACTTCGATCAAGACGCCCTTGGCGGTGTGGATGAAAATTTGGAGCCGACCGGCCTTGTTCACGGGGGAATCGAGAAGAGTGAGCAAGCACTACGGTGGGTTAGTGGATGTTCTTTTTTGACCTTTCTATTGCCACTGGCGATGTTGAATCGTACCTGGTGGGTAATATCCGGTCGGGCTTCACTGATATCACGGTTCATTTTGCGCATGATACCGATGTGCTCGTCGCTGTTCAACAGAGAGAACTTTTCATCCTTGGTTCCTGAACGTCCACTGGAGACAGCCTTGTAGGTCTCCAGACTGGCATTGGAGAGAACCACAATCAAGCGTTGGGTGTCCTTGTCATGGGATGGAATTGGGACATGCTGTTCGGCAACTAGCTGGGGGAGCTCCGGAGGAGGGCATGACTGGGTCCCTGGAGATGAAATGTCAGACATGTTGAAGTTTAAGCTTGCGATGAGAATTGCAATTTAGGGTGAGGGGTAAAGGGAAGGGGGAAAAGGTGACAGGTGTGGGATGTGCGAGGGGACAGCGACATGTCACACGGACCAAATCAAAATTGATGGAAGAATTGATGTTTGGATCTGTGATTCGAGTCTTCCTAGTTTTTTGGAGAGAAAGAAAAAAGAAGAAAAAAAGCAAACAGAACGAGATTGCTATAAAGCAAGGGGGAAGAATATAAAAAGCAGATCAAATACTTACTCGCACGCTTTCTCTTGCCAGCAGCTTGTTCTTGGTCCGACATTGTAGTTGGTATTAGATTTGCAAAGATGTTGGTGTTGAAGAGTTTTTGGGGGGGAGGAAACTCTCGGAGGAGATAAAAAAGCGGCAAGGGGACCGGAGTCCGTCAGCTGGTAGAAAGTAGAATTATATAGAATCTGACTCTGCATGGTAATATATTAACTATATTATTAACTATTAGATTTTGATTTGAATTCTTTATGGATTAGAATGCATTCTTCGGACTTTTTATACGTCTAAATAGTAAAATAGTACGAAGTAGAATAGAATAGCAAAATATAGGACTCCACACTACACATATATATATATATATATATATATTGGGATATTGTCTCTACTCTCTACTCATAGTCTCCGATATCCTTGGAAATTCCCTTTTCATGTTAGCTTCAACGGTTTAGTGCCACTCTTCGTCAGCAGGGAGATCGACATTACCCCCCAGTTAGTTATGCCGTTTACGGAGTACATGCTTGTACTTTGTATGTACGATCCCAGCTGCGTTCGAACCAGCCACAATCTGACAAGGAAAGCCACAAGGCTTCTCTTTTGTCGATAGATTGATAGGTCCGACATCCCAGCAATAATAGCGCTTGACAACAATGGACCAACCCTGGAAAAAACTTGCTTGAGACTATCTACCTCTGGACCACTCCGTAGACCCTGGTAGATTGGAAAGGTTGGCCCTCACAGTACTATCTAGAGCACAATGAATACAACTGGAGGATTGGGTTAGACCAGATGATGAGTATGTGTAACATTCTCTGCATAAAATTGCGTTGGTGACTCAGAACAAACAGATCTGACTGGTTCATGTCCAGCATTGCCTCTTAGGGGCCAGCGTACTTCATACACCCAGAGGCTCCTGTCCAGTGGATGAGAAGGGTCAGCACAGATACGAAGGCCATGAATGGATTAGAATGGCAAAGGTGGCACAAGGAAGCTTTGTCACTTTGTCACCAGGGCAGGAAATCTGAGGGCCCTGAACAAGGAGCAGCTCTTCCGGCAATCATTCTCTGAGACAGTTGTTCAGAGTCACAGCTTGTGATGCCCTCTCTCGGCCGTGAATTTGGACCCCGCGGTCCGGTCCGGCTAGCGACCGGAAGGAATGTGTATCATGTAGGCTCCAGCACTAGAATCCCATCTTTCCACGATGACATGCCAAGCGCTCAGTTGCCACCGAGTCTGTACACTGAAATCCGGGGGACCAGGCCTCCCATATGTCGATGACCTCGTAACCTGGCTGATATTCCCAAGCCAATCACCGAGCAAGATCGAAGGTCTCTCTCGGGTCTTGACCCAATCAGCACGGAATAGTTTGTGTTGGGTTGGCCCCAAGCGCCCGGTATATTCTTTGAAATGGATAAATAATTGCAACCTGTAGCCTGTATCCTGTAGCCTTTAGGCGCTGAGCGTGAAGCAGAAGCATTAGAGCGGTCAATAAGGACCATCACAATTCCAACGTGCGTTTCCTTGCACAATGCAATACGGGGAAGGCCTTACTGGCCATGGAAGCCTTGCACCTTGGCGAGAAGCCAAGGGGGGGTTCAGGAGAGCGTCATCTTTAATCTCCATAGACTTTGCCCAGTACAACAAGATAGTCTCATTGGTTGAATTTTGACATTGGAGCCTGTCTCTGCCTGCCAATTGTGTACTTCGTCTCATATATTATTGTGAATCAGTTTAGAAAGGGGGCGAGGAAAAAAAAAAAAAAAAAAAAAAGAAGTGCCCGACATACCAACCACAGGAATTTGAGGCTGGTGATTGTTATTTGTTATACTCTGCACATCTTCACATCTTCACATCATCATCTTCACTTCTCTGACTCTTTTCATCTTCCTCATTTCTCCTTGGTCCGGTATTAATCCCGGCTGGTGGCGAGACTCTCCTTTTTATTTTTATTTTTATTTTTTTTACAAAACCCAGCTCTCCACCAGGAACTGTTGATCATTTCCATTTCATCTTTTTTCTACCTGAACTTGAAACTTCCTCTCAACTCCAAAGCAAAACAACAGAAAACACATTGTAAGGGATAAAGCCCTGAGAAGCTCTGGAGGTAAGTCAACAAGTCAACGTTAGTCATTCGAAACAATATGACCTAAAACAGACTAGTGTTTCCACGCGTGCCGTCACCAAGGACTTTCTCAACTTCCTTCATCCCACCTTGTCCAGAGCAAATTTTGGAAAAGTCAGGGTCATGCCGTGGACAGTTACCAATTCATTTAAGAGGTATGTGTATTTTGTCCAATTTACAAGGAGTGAACTAACATTCCATTTCAGAGGCCTTATGAAAACCTACGGACGACCAACATGGCGCGTCTACGACGATGAGCGCGCCGCGAAGAAAAGACGCGTGGATGACTCCGATGAAGCTGAGGCCAACCTGCAATATGCCATCCGCGAGTCTTCAGCTGCCGTGCTGTCGAGCCCGTCGCGTCGGAATTCCCTGTTGTCGGAAGGCACGCTCGATGATATTGACGATCTCACCACACCACCATCATCGCCACCACCACGGTTAACCCCACCGCCAGCAAATACTCGCAAGCCGACATTTGCGTTTCTCAAGCGCAAGCACAAGGAAGCTGCCCCGACCGGATCACCCTTGACAGAGGTCAACTCCAATAGCGTACGCGCATCTATGGACCCACCCAAGCAGAAAGGTCAGAAACAACCTGTCATGCGCCAGATGCAGATCGACTTGGGGAGTGATACACGAAAGACCTGTGCTACTTGTGGTATGGAATATATCCCGTCCAATACAGAGGATGCGGCACTGCATAAAAAGTTCCACGAGATGAATGCGACTGGGATCGACCTAGGCAAGGCATTTATGCGTGCGAACGCCTCGCGCTGGGTTTACGAAGCGACTCGATTCGACGAGGGATATGTGGTAATTGTGGACCGCAAGGCGTCCCCTAGCGCCAAGAGCCAAGCGAAGAAGGTTCTCGAGGTTGTCAATAAAGAGCTCTCATCACCGGAAATCGACGACGAGACCCTCTGGAGTCAAACGGAACCGCCCAAACATTTGCAGGATGGTCCGACCGAGAAAGTAGATCGATACCGGGTCTTTCTGCATATGAAGGACAGTCGCTGTGTCGGGCTCTGTCTGACCGAGCGCATCTGGGAATCGCGACCGGTGGTGAAGGAACAAAATGGCGACGCACACAACGGCTCCTCTGTCTCGACGCGAGATGAAATCCGCCCCGCCATCGTCGGGGTCTCTCGCATCTGGACCTCCGGATCCTCGCGGCGAAAGGGAATCGCTTTAGATCTCCTCGACTGCGTGGTCATCAACTTTATTTACGGGATGGAAATAACAAAGGGACAAATTGCATTCAGCCAGCCCACGGAGAGTGGCAATTGCCTGGCACATAAGTTTTTCGAGGGTGAAGAGACATGGCATGTCTATAACGAGCGGTGATGGGGGTTGAATATGGGAGGGTCTTTTTTAATTACTTCACAGCAATGGGTGAGGCATATGGGGGTTTTGTATTCTCTGTCGAGCGTTTTTTTATTTTTTATATGCTTCTGTACCATACCTGTTCCCTTTTCCCATGTACAATAGGGAGCTGGGACGCATTTGTTTCAATATTCCAATTTGACCGAACTATTTATTATCCCAATATACGAACAAATGTACTTTTATGCATTTTATTTCAAAGCCTCTCGGGGCAGCCGGACTCGATCTCGGAAAGCGGCGCGTAGAAACGAGGAAACCTCATGGATAAGAACCTCAGCGGGGACCCCTCAATTCCTCTCTTTTTCCTTTTCCCTCTATTCTAACATATCTATTCTCGCAATGTCTGGATCGAATCCTTTCCGACCTAGAAACCTGGGTGAGTATTGTTTTCCCCCTCTTTCCCCTCTTGAGCCTTCCCTGGTAACACCGGGAAATCATTCCCAACATGACGCTGATATGAATCCGGGTATACAGGCAATCCCGCAGATCCATTGTCTACCAACTCGGGCACTTTTGCCCCTGTTTTGCCCTCCAAGCCTCTATCAACTTCACCTATAACCCCGAATGGTTACCCCAGGAAGTCGTCGATATCGCTCAAACGCGAGGTAGATGAGTCGAGCTCCTCGGATGAAGAGACAAACCCATTCCACCCGGATGTGTCGGCGAGCGATAGTGAGGACGAAATTAATGGGTACAAGAGCTCAGCTCCCCATAAGGATGATCGACCACGAGAATCTTTTGGGTCAGCTCCACACCCAGCTCCATCAACAGATGGATCCCCCATATCACCCGACCACAACATGCGGTCTGCAACAGGTGCAGACAGCTCTCATGCAGGACGTCCTGCGGCACGGTTGTCTGTAGAGCTTGACACAAGCAACCCTCTCGGCCGGGCCAAAGACAAGAAGCCGCCGCCTCCGCCTAGGAGTCATCACGGCCGCAGAATTGGCTCTACAGCTACCACAGAATCATCCCAGACCGCCCGGTCCCGGTCTACTAACCGCCTGTCAATTCATGGCTCCCATGGGAATGTGACTCCCGGCGCCTCGCATCCCAGCTCGGTGTCTCTATCATCAGCCGCGGACTATTTCTCAGTCCCGGGAGCAACAGGGTCGACGGACTCCCTCCAGCGCAGCCAGTCTCAGCATAAGCGGCCCCCGACGCCACCTCTCAGTCGACGGCACAGCCAGATGCGGAGATCCAAGTCTACACAGTCCAAAACTAGCAGCAGATTAAATATATCTTACGACTCGGAGAGCAATGATAGCTCTCAGCCTCCCAGTCCAGTCCCTTCCAGTCGGGCGCTGGAAAGCAAGAGAATCAGCATGCCTCCACCATCATCGGGAGTCTTCCAGGCGTCTGCTTCATTGGGAGATATCTCGCCGAACCTGTCTCCCCCCACTAACTCCAGACCATCATCACTGAAGGCTGGGCGGCGGGCATCATCCTATGGGAGTGTACCGGGTGGCTCTACTGGACCACCCCCGCCCCCTCCGCCTCGGCGCACTCGAGATTCCATGGCCCGTAATAGTGATGTGATGGGTTTGAAGGAGAACCAGACGCCAGCCCCACAACCATCCAATGCCCTTGACATACTGGCCGATCTCACCAAACTTCAGAAAGAGGTGGATGATCTTCGGGGGCATTATGAGAATCGGAAGGTTGGTTAGGAATTGAAGGGGGAGCAGCGGGCTGTTTTCTCTTCCACTGTTTTAGTATAGGCGATTATATACATGAATGAACGAATGCATGAATTTGGCGTAGTGTGTTTGCCAGTATTGGATTTCTGGTAAATTCCGAACAATGACCTGAAGGGGGAAAGATGAAAGGCGGGACAGATCTCGGATGGTGGTGTTTAGCGTCCATCATGACAGCGGAGCTCCATATTCATATAAAAGACATCAAAAATAGAGATGAAATAACACTACTTAATATCGTCTTGAACCAGACAAATCGGATAATTCAATATTTTGTCAAGGATAGAGAGGCCTTAAAAGCGGAATACCAGATTAATTAGGCCAAGTATCTGAGGACTATAATATGGTGGCCCGTAGTATTATTGTTCGAATGGCCACTAATATTTGCGGTATGTAACCCCGAGGTATGACGTGGGGGGATTAATTATTTAGTTCTCCAGCTCAAGTCCACCATCTCTCCTCCTCTCTTTCTCCAACCCCCATCTCTTTGGACATCTATCACTGAATTATTGACTCTGCTTAATTTTCAGAGATTCATCACCATATCTCCACAGCATGACTACTCCAACGCTGATCAATTTGCCTCCTCCCCCATCGGACCCCGTCACTCCATCGGATATGGGACCGTAAGAGCTCTCTATAACTCCGTCTTCCCTGTGTCTATACGTAACTTGGAGAGTTAACTGACTTGGCTAATTAATGGGGAAATCAGAGGCACCCCCAACTCCGGCACTACATCGCTCTCTGCTCTCTCGACCACAGCCATCAAAGACGGCCACCAGGGCCAACCATTCCCCCACAGCCACCATGCGCACCAGTCCTCCACATCCTCCACCACAACCCTAGAGGCCGAGCGCGCAGACCGAATTTCCCGCTTAGCCGGCCTTGAGCGCGTTGCTACAGCCCGCGCCGGTGGTCAATCATCCTCCGGCCAAGTGCCCCCGTCGTATGCTCCAGGATACTTCGAGAGTCAAGCACTGAAGGAGCGCAGCACAGTTGGCAGCGCTAGCGCGACGGGTAGCATCGCCGGACGCACAACCTGGGCCAGCAGTAGCGACACATACGACGCCGACAAAATGAGCGAGGACCACGAAGACGACGGCACCTCCAGTATCGGTAACGCCAGTGACGAGGGTAATGCCAGTCTGGTCGGTTTTGGCGAGGGCGCCAACAGTACTTACAGCGGACCGATTTCTCGTCCTCCTGGAATGAACCGTGTGTCTTCTGGAGGTATCGGAGCACGGCCTACTTCTATGGGCAGCTCGAATGTCAATCGCCCGACTCCGCTGGCTTCATATCTTCAGCAACAACAGCACCATGCCGGGGAGAGCTCCATGATGTCGACGTCGCCGGCTGGATCAATGACGCCCGAGCCTATGAATGAGGATGCTCGCATGGTTGATGGTATGACTTTTGACTCGGACGTTGTTGATACTACTGCCAGAACTCCACGATTGGTTTCCACGCCGGGTCACAGCAACAGTGGATTTGGCTCACCAGGCCGGGATTAAAGTCTGGTTCATGCTTTGGTAGATTCAAGAGGTTACGAAGGCGTTTTTCTTTTAGTGGCTTGATGCCTCGAATGGATTGCTTCTTTTTTTGTGTGTGTGTTTGTTTCGAAGGAACAATGACTATGCATGTAATTATAAGCAGAGAAAATTGAAGTGTATTGAGATATGTTCTCTTCAAAATATCCAGAGTATCGTCAGTACCTGATTGGTTCTTCCCCTCTAAAAACCATTGCCACCTGTCTTTTCCACGTAAATCCAGAACACCTAGGCATTATTCTAGGTATCTATACACATTGAATAATATATAATTAAGCTACTATATAGTTATATTCAAGCTTCAAGCCTAGCCCGAAGCGTAGAATCTGTACAATTGGGATTCCCGGCACAACGCGTATACCGCAAATGACGGCATGCCGCCTGAGCCACATCGCCAAACCCGAATTTTCTTCCCTTCACTCTTCAACCACCCCAACTACCTTTCTTCGCCCGACCTCTTTTGCTGGCATTGACTTGTCTAGCAGTCTTCTATTCCGCCGACTTGCTGTTTTCACTTGCCCAGAAACCCCCCACGAATTCCCAATCCGAGAAATACCCCCGAAAAGCCCATTTCGCTTCGCCTTTGTTCGACTCCCATTATTTCACTGGGTCCGTTGTTCGCTGCGAGGTTATTTTGGTCCTATAAGTGCTTTGTGATTCGTGTTTCTTCTTGGAAGAATCCATTTTACCTTGTGTTCCCGAAAAGCATTCGATTTCTCTTCTTTTGGTGGATTCATTCTAGACCTGCGAGTCGAAATCAAGATGGCTGCTCCTACGCAACTTGCTTGTATGTGTTTTTCTTCCCTCGTATTTTTTTCTCGACTGAGTCGCCGGTGGATGAATGGTTGCTGATAATCGCACAGTCCGCACGCTCAAGGGCATTAGCATCATGGATGCCGCCCCTGTCTACCAGCCCCTTTCTGGGTTCGCGAAGTAAGAATTGACCCAGATAACAAACAAGAAATTTCGCTGACTCGTTCTCCAGACCAGAGGGCAACCTCCGCTGTAGCGGCTACTCGCCGTGTGGCCGGTATTTCGCATGGGCATCGCCCGAGAAGTAAGTTGATTTCCCCCCACTTTCACATCCAAAATCTAACATTCGTTTCCAACACAGGGTCACCATTATCGACCCCTCTGTGGGCCAAGTCGTTGGAACCATCCCCGCCGATAACGTGTTTGAGCTTGGATTTTCGCCACTCGGTACTTATGTGATCACCTGGCAGCGCACATCCAAGGACGAGAACGGAGATGCCGTCAAGAACTTGAAGGTGTGGCGTGCCATTGAGGACGGGGACGTTCACTCTGTTGTTGGAAGTTTCGTCCAGAAGTCGCAGACCGGTTGGAACTTGCAGTACACTGCTGATGAGCGGTTGTGCGCCCGTACCGTGACCAACGAGGTTCAGTTCTACCAGAGCGACAACCTGTCCACTGTTTGGAACAAGTTGCGCGTGGAGGGAGTGGCGGACTTTGCGCTGTCGCCTGGTCAGACTCAGTCCATTGCTGTGTTCATTCCTGAGCGCAAGGGCCAGCCTGCCCAGGTTAAGGTGTTTATTGTCCCGCAATTCACTGCGCCCGTGTCCCAGAAGAGTTTCTTCAAGGGCGATAAGGTCCAGCTGAAGTGGAACGCTTCCGGAACTACTTTGATCGTGCTTGCGCAGACTGAGGTGGATCGCACTGGCAAGAGTTACTACGGCGAGACGACCCTGTACTTGCTGAGCGCTAGCGGTGCATTCGACTCGCGCATTGATCTTGGTATGTTTTTTTTTTTTTGGCTTTACTACTCGTGGAACTCAACTGACAATCAACAGATAAGGAAGGTCCTATTCACGATGTTAGCTGGAACCCCAACTCGAAGGAATTCGGTGTTGTGTACGGCTACATGCCCGCTAAGACGACCATCTTCAACTTCCGCGGTGTGCCCAAGCATAACTTCCCCCTCGCGCCGCGCAACACTATACAGTTCTCGCCCCATGGCCGCTTCGTGCTGGTTGCCGGTTTCGGTAACCTGGCAGGACAGATGGACCTCTACGACATGGACAAGAACTACCACAAGATCACCACCGTCGAGGCCTCCAACGCCAGCGTGTGCGCCTGGTCGCCCGACGGACAGTACATCCTGACCGCGACAACCAGCCCCCGCCTGCGCGTCGACAACGGCGTGCGCATCTGGCACGTTAGCGGTGGTCTCACCTACAACGAGGAGATGACCGAGCTCTACGACGTCACCTGGCGCCCGCAGAGCATCGAGCAGCACCCGCTGGGCGAGCCGCTCACCAAGGTGCCTGTGCCCCACCCCCTCCGCCACTGCCTACATGGGCACGCGCAAGGCCCCCGTCAAGCCCGCAGGTGCATACCGTCCCCCGGTGCCCGCGGCCAGCTGACCCCGCTCGCATTCAAGCGTGAAGATGAAGGCGGTGCTGCCTTTGTCCGCGACGGTGTGCCCGGCGCCAGCATGAACACTTTCGGCAAGCCCCGCCGTCGTGAGATCCCCGGCGCCGAGCCCTTGGAGGAGTACCTGCCTCCCGGAGCCGCGCCCGGCGGCGGCGTCACCCTGCCTGCCGAGAACCTGTCCAAGTCCGCCGCGAAGAACAAGAAGAAGCGCGAGGCGGCCAAGAAGGCCAAGGAAGATGGAACTGATACTCCCCCTGCCAATGCCCCGACTGGGCCCAGCCCAGACCGCAACCGTAACCGCGGCAAGAATGCTGGCGTCCCGAATGGAATCAGTGCGGCCAAGTCTGCCCCTGCTCCCCCTCCTGCCGCTGCCCCTATTCCTGCTCCTGCTCCTGCCCCTGTCGCTGCTCCCGCCCCTGTTGAGGACCCTTCTGCCCAGGATAAGAAGATCCGTGGCCTGCTGAAGAAGATCCGCGCTATTGATGAGCTTAAGATGCGTCTTGCTGGTGGCGAGAAGCTGGAGGATACACAGATGAAGAAGATCCAGACTGAGGATGCGGTGCGGAAAGAGCTCCAGGCTGTTGGGTATGATGGTTGATTGGAATTGAACAGATGAGAATGCGTGATGCTTGACGCTTGACGACGTTGATGCGGATTGCACCCTTGCATGGATATACTTAGATCGACCTGCATGTATTGCATCTGATATAGGAGCTGTTCAGATTGACATCGATATTCATATCCATATCAATATCAATACCACTCACTATCAATATGAACCTGAAATGGCGTCTGTACAGACTATGTATCTATTCGTAACTGTACCTAGGTAATCATCTACAAATCTATAAATCTACAACAGTAAACCTTCTACATGAAATATCACCCAGACCCAGAAAACTCATCCAAAACACCAACCCCCCTCTCAACCCTCATCCTCTCCCAATTAGCCCTCCACCACCAAACCCCCGTCTCATCTAACCCAGACAAATCACCCCTCTCTACAACCTCCTCATGCCAAGGCTTCGTAGCAAA